CCTGGAGCAAGTTGAGTGCTTGCTGAGCTCCTGAGTGGGAAGGGAAGTTTGGATTGGGCTCCTGTCTCTCCTTTCTGTCTGCTTGTTCACATTGACTCTCTAGTCCTCCCTGTGAGTAGGGAGGACACCTCTGCCTGTGGGCTCTTGGGAAGGTACTTGTGGGACGGGTATTAAGTGAAAGCGCTTTGTAAAGCAGGAAGTCTTTGATGATTCCTGGTTGAAGTGTCTTCTTTACACAGCCCTCAGAAATACAGGTGAGGGCACCTCCAAGAAGGGAGGTCCCGGTCCACCTTTGCTGCCCCTGCCTGATTTCTACTCATGAGAGATGTGCTTTTTTCATGACTTCAACGAGTCCCTCCTTCTTTCTCAACAAGTTCCCTCCTTCTTTCTCCTTTTACTTTTCTCCCTCTTCCTCCTTCTGTTTCTTCTCCCTCCTCTTCTTTCTCCTCCTCCTTTGCTTCCTCTTCCTCCTCTCCTCTTTTTCTGTCTCTGTGTCTCCTTTTAACTTAAGTAAACATTTATTCAGCACCCCATGAACTGTTGTTCCTTTTCTCAGAAAGTTTAGTACCTTCCTGAGCTTGAGTCTTGACAGAGTGAAGGACGCAGTTCCATGTTGATGCTGGCGTTGAGTAGGGGCTGGATTACCTCAGAGAGGCTGTCCCTGCTCCCAGCCCCCAGGAAATCTGAGTCAGCAGAAATTGCAAACACTTCACTGCTGATGCATTTGGCTGGGAGCAGGTCTCGTCTGTGCACACAGCACTGTGGGTGCTTGCTCCAGGAGAACCCAGGAATCTTGGCTGCCTTGTTTCTCCAGTAATGGTCTTTGCTTTCCTTGCATCCTGATACTGCCCCGTGACTGCGTAGACCACAGGCAGATGGGGAGCTGCTTTCTTTGCAGGATCAGTGAAAAGTGAATGGAGATGATATGTTGGTAGTCACTCCATTGTGTCCCCCATGGAGGGGTGAAAGCAGAGGTCATGCCCCAGAGCTGAGTTCTCCAAGATTCCTCAGGCTTCAGAATGTCACAGAGGGTGTTTGTGGTTATATCAATAGGAAGTTGATTTTTCTTACAAAATAATCTCTATCCATACTTCTGTATCGCCATTGTATGAAGTAGAATCAGCTTTCTGGATATTTGCTATGAACCCCAGGGATATCTAGTAGCACTCTGGGTAGACAACAGGAAAAGACCAAGTTCTAAGATGTTTCATAAAACCCAGCCTTCTGTTGTCATCCAGCCGTTGCTGTGGAGTCTGGCCTGGTTACCAGACATGTTCCTCACAGCCTTACAAGGTCTTAGGCTTTTTCCAAGCAGCCTCCCAGTGCTTACATAAATATCTCCTGATTTGCTGATATGAATAATGCCACAGAATTTGAAGAAAACCCTCTAAGTCAACAGAACTTAACAACTCCCAGGCGCTTTAATTCACTGTCCAAATTGTTCTGGAAAACCAGGATCCCTGAGAGGAAACTTATCTGTCAGGAAAATTTGTGGTACTTGAATTCGATTTATTTTGATGAAACTCTTTGTTCCTTACAATTGGGAAGTGATGCTTGTCCTTCAAAAACCATCTTGTCATTTCCTTGGCTCCTTCTGGCTGCCCTTTGCTGCTTCCTGTGGGATGTGTATTCTCAGAGACTCTTATGGATGAGGCTCCCTGAGGACAAGCCCCATTTACTTCCTGTAGGAAGTAAGACTGCATTTAAAGGAGCTGGCAACTGTGCATACAGCAGATCTGGTAACTGACAGTCTTTAAGTCCCTCCTGCAGCCTGATACCTGTGCTTCATACCAGAAGAACCTGCCCTAGTCTCAGGTGCTGAGGGGAGACTCAGAGAACAGGAGTGAGTCCCTGGCTCCTGCTGGAGGCCCAGCTGGGGAAGAATGGGGGTTGTGTGACGTGGTATCAGAGCTCTAGCTTCATCCTTTTTCATCCCTCATGTATCAGTGAGTTTGAAGGCAGAATCTCTCCCATCTGGTTTTGTGCATCGTGAGCTAGGAAGGGGTTGTAGAGAGACATTTTACTTTATCTTATATAATAATATGCTACACACTTGGATTGATACAGAATCTGTATCCTACTTAGTTAGGTCTTTATTGTAGAAAGTGCCAAGAAGTTGTGAGTACTCAGTTGAGGCACACTCATCTGACTTTTGTCCTAAAGGTAGCTCACCGTCATCTTCTTGTTGTATTTTATTCTAACCATAGTCACATGCAAAGATTGTAAATTACTAGACCCACACTAGACATTGTTGTCTCTTGCTGCTTTTTATTAAACAAAGAGTAGAGCTTTTTATCCATGGTGTTAAACATTTGTCAAAAACACTTTTGGGGGAGTCATTCCATTCTTATTTAAAATTTTAATTGGTAGTCCATTATTTCAAAAACTCAACTGTCATAAAAAAAAAGTCTTCTCAAATAACCTCATTTCCAGCACTGTGCATCAGCGGCCCAGGCCCAGCCGTACTCTGCACACACTGGCTACCCTTTTACTGGTGTCTTGAATTTAATTTCTACAGCTTTTTGATGTTGAAGTTAACAAATACAGTGGGATATTCGTGCTTCTCTGCATTTGGAGCCTAGGTAGTGTGTAAGATCTGTATGTGCTTCCTGCCTTTGCTTCACTTGTGTTCTAGCTTGGTGATCTTTTCATAAAAGCACAGAGAAAGTCACCTTGTTCTTTAAGAGCATGTTTACAGTTTTTGTAAAAAAAATTCAGACGATATCTCTTTCTTATCTTATGAAAAGATAGCAAGTGAAAAATGAGTCTCTTTTCCTCCAGTCTCATTCCTAATCTATTATCAGTGATAATCACTGTTACTGTTTATTACTTGTTTTTTCAGAATTTAACTTTTAGACCTGTTGACTCAGAAACGTGTGTGTACCCATACATACGCATGAATTACATTTTTTAAATCTGTAAGTTTTTTACATAAAAATACATAAAACTTTTATGTGTTCTTATAAATTTTTTACATAGAAATCATCTTGCGAATATGCTGTAATTTCTTGACCCATTTCTCTGTAGATAGAACTTTAGATTGTAATATCTTAGTTTTCTAAGCCTTAGAAATAGAGAGGATCTTCAACATAAATGTTGGTTGGCTTTTTTATTGTTTCTTCTATATCAATTTTGACAGCAGGTTCTTAGATCAACAGATATGGATGTTTTTAGGGATCTTGGTGCATGCAGTCCCCTGGCTTCCTCATACACCATCTTTCTTTCCGGCTTGCATAGGAAAGTGATGGTCAGTAGCAGCGGAGTGACTCCCAGTGACCTGTGAGGTCCTAGAAAACTCGAGCTCTGTCTAGCAGGGAGAGAAGTAGGTTTCTCTTCCTTGGGTTTGAAGGAATCCCTCAATAGCACCTTCATAGAAAAAGTTTGCTTCCCAAAGCCTAGTTGAATAGTTTCGCTGCAGACATCTATGGCGGTCTTAGCCTGAGTTATTCTAGCTCTGGCTGCTGCACACAAGGTGAAAGGTGCCCTTGCGCCAGCCATACAGATCCTGTGTGTGGTGTCGACACCGTGCTTTCATTTTTCGGTAGCTGTCAACTTACTATCAGGATACACAGTTACAGAAGTTTTCCATATTGCCAGCCATTGCTCTGTGTCCTCTACAGGCAATAACTCATTTTATCCTTATGACAACCCTGTGTCACCATTACACCCATTTTATAATTGAGGATGCTAGTATACATATCTTACGGAGAAGAGATTTACTTAGTGCCACACAGTCAGGAAGACTTCGGGATGAGGTTCCGTCACCGCTGTTTTCCTCCCCCCAAAGCCAGAACCCTGTTTCTTTAACTGTCCCCAGGCAGAATTTCTTTAAAACTTACCCTCTCTTTCATCTTTTCCCTGGATTATTCTTTCTTTTGAGGGATTTATAACAGGGAAAACTTAGAAGTTGGCTGGACTCACATTCATATCCACTTCCTATATATGTAGTCATGGGCAAGTTCTGAATCACCCTCCTGAGGCTCAGTTTCATCATCTGTGGACTGGGAGGTTTAACATTTGCTCTTAGGGGTTTAGGAAGACTGATGAAGATTGTGAATAATCTCAAAGTCCTGATAGTTAAAAGATGTGAAATTAACATTCTCTCTTTTTCCCTCATTACTTCATAACCTTCTTTGTTCCACATTGTGCTCTTGGTCTTGATCCACATTCTTAAAATCCTAACCAATTTAGTTTCAATCAGATCAAAAAAGCAAGCTCATTCCCTGAATATTAGAATATTATCACCACTTATTGAGCATCTACCAGAAGTGAATATTTTGTAATCTTCTCTATGTACTAATTACAAATCCTTGAGCCAGCCCTGAGAATTAATCACCCTTTGGGGTGGGGAGGAGCCAAGACTGGGAAGGTAGCTCCTTACTTGAGCTCACGCATTCCATTGGCTGCCTGCTGGTGCTCACATTCATTTCCACAGAGTGTGGTCAGGGCCCTCAAGCAGCACTGTGGACAGCCATCCTACCACACAGTTCAGTTTCTGTCATACAGTAATGTTCTCTTGTGGCCCTTCTGAATCGGCAGAAGCCACATTTGGCCTAAGTTGCTCATATGTTCTGGAGGTGAGCGAGCCATTTTGGAGTCGACCGTGGCCTCATTGTTGGTGTATTGGGCCTGTGTGAGTGTGACGTTCATCATGGTGACAATGGCTATTTTTCCATTGCACATCTGATCTTAGATTCTGATTAGTCCTTTAGAGATTCAAATTACATGTTTTTACATGTCTGTGATTATCTCAATAGGATTAGCTGTCTTTTTCTGTAAAAACAATTCATATCACTCATGGTGGCATATTTTTATTACTGTACCATTGTAACTAACCTTCCCTCCACAAAATCTCTTATTATTTTCCAGTAACTGTTTTTTCACCTCATTCTGAATGGGAAATTATAAGGGACCATTGAGAGGTAAAAATCTTCCACGATTATACAAACCATTGTAACCATTATGCATTTTCTCTCTTCCTCCCCCTCTCCTGATGGTAGGTGCCCGGAGATTTGAGTCAGACGTCTGAAGACCAGAGTTTGTCAGATTTTGAAATGTAAGTCCATGGCATATTGTTGTGAGGGGTCTTTTGGAAGTAGCACTCTGCTGTTGGCATATGTCCCAGAAGTTCCTAGGAGGAAACAGAAATTACCATGAGGTCTGCACAAGGTTGATTTTGTTATTATAGAAGTGTGGAGCCATTCTCCTGAGTCCTTAGCCTGCTGACCTGTTTTATATTCCCTTTGGATATTTAAAAGCCTTTTGGCCTTGACTGGCATTTAAAAGTTATCGTATAAAATTTTAAATTCTAGAGTTTCTCTTTGACAGACTCTCGTCCCTATAAGGTAGAATTGAGAGGCAGCTGCCCCTTCACACAGGACGTGTGCTCTGCAGGTTCCTACAGTCTTCACTGTCCCCGGTGGTCTCTCTCAGGTCCACATCACCTGGTTCACTGTCTGTGTAGCTCGTGCAGGTGTTTGAAGTCACGGCCCCTGGTTAGGGGAAGCACCAGGGCATCACTCTGAGTTTCACTGGTCTTGACTCTTCTTGGTGCCTCTGCTGATGACTAAGGAGATGTAAGTCTTCAGACACTTTCTGTTCAAGTTACCCCGGCTTTTGGAGAAGTAATCCTCCTGACTGGTAAAGTGGGGTGGGTCCTGGGTGACAGGCCAAACAGAGAACCTCCTTCCTCTGATTCAGTAAGAGTAAAAGAAGGGTCAGCCTCCCATCCCTTAAACCCAGGAGTTTGATGCTAGCCTGGGAAACCTAGCAAGCAACCTTGCCTCAAAAAATAAAATAAATAAAAAAATAAAGTCCTGCTTCTTGATGAGAAGGAGTCACTCAAGAACAGTTGCTTCTAGGGAAAACAGGGCAAAACATTAGAAGAACATTCTCTCAGAGCCATGTCGACCTGCTTTGAAATCTGTCACTGAACTCAAACCAGTAGACCTTGTGCCTATCACTTAACCTCTGTGGAACATAATTTCCACATTCGTAAGGGTAAGGTGGTCCTGATACCAACCTTGCAGGGCTGTGGTGACAGCGTGAGAGAGATTATGAAAAATACAAAGGAAGGCATCAAGAGGCTTCTCAGTGTTGGGGGGCTGTCCGGTAGGTGGGATGGAAGACTGCGAGGTGTGAGGGTGAGGAGGGGGCTAAGAAGTGAAGCATGTAAGTCACAGGAGGGTTTTCCTTCAAGGGGCTGTGGACACCAGGACTGTAGCATGTAGAGGTTGTTAGAATGGCAACCTCTGCAGAACACTGGTGGGAGAAGTTGGGAAGTAAGGTGGGAGCTGCGGAGAGTAATCCCAGAGATGAGTCACTTGTGAGGCAGAAGAGGCTCATTATTAACCTAAATTTCCCAGCTATCTGCTGTGGTCAAGCATTTTGTTAGGTCCTTGATGGAAGAGAAGAATAGGCCACAGTCCCTGCCCTATAGTAGCCTTTGCCTGGCCCATGCCACCTCCTCTCTCTCCAGAGGTCTGGAACTTCTTCTCATTGGTTTGCTCATCTATGCTAAAGCCAGAGGGACACACTGGTACCATTGCCCTCTCTCAAGACGAATACCAGGGTCCATCGTGGATCATACAGTGAAGGCCCTCATGGATCTTGGGCTTCATCTCCAGTCCTTCCTCTTCCCCCCCCTGAACTGCAACCTCCCTGCATTGTTCTTGAACTCACACACAGCATTTCTTCCACACCAGTTCCTATTCTAACTCTCGCAGTGCCCACCACAGCCTTCAAGGTAGGTCTTGTCTCACAGATGATGGATTTGAGCTGGGATTCACACTCGTGTAATTTTGATGTAGATGGTGTACTCTTCCCAGATGTTGGTTTTCCTGCCTAAAGCACTCTTCCCAGACTCAGCCTCCTCTCAATGCAGCAGACTCTCCTCAGAGCCTGGGCCAAGCATTGCTTCCCAGGGAAGCCTGGTCTGACAGCATTCCTGCTTGGCATTCACTTTCCTTGGATCTAGTATCCCTAGGTGACACTTAAAGCAATAGTAATGTAATAATTTTTGTAATTTAAGTATATATGCCCTTATCAGAGCTTTAAAACATACGATGTGATAATTGACAGAAATGAAGGCAGAAATTGACAGTTCTTTAATAATAGTTGTAGATTTTAGTCACCAACTTTTACTAGACCTAGACAGAAAATCAGTAAGAAATACAATTGAACAACACTGTAAACTATTCGGATACAACAGATGCTTATAGAGCACTCCACAAATTACTGCAGAATACATGCTTGTGTTAGTCAGGTTTCTGTTACTATAACAAAATACCAGATAGTCTGCTTATAAAGAAAAAAAATCATACAAGGTTGGTGGTGCATGCCTGTGATACTAACACTTGGGAGATTGAGGTAGGAGGATCACAAATTTGGGGCCAGTCTGGGCTATGTAGTAGGGTTGAGGGAGGGAGAAAAATGTTTATCTTGGCTCTTAGTCCATGGTTGGTTGGTCCTGTTGCTTTTAGGGCTGTGGTGAGGCAGCATGTCACGAGGAGGAGCCTGTGGCAGTAGAGCAAGCTGCCCACCTTGTGGCATCTGGGGGACACAGTTTGGAAGAGACAGTGGTCTCACAGTCCCCGTTGAGCACATCCCCCAGTGACCTAAAACCTGCCTCAAGGCCCCACCTCTTAAAAGTTCTCGCCGCAGCCCAGTAGTGCCATGCTGGGATGAGTCTCCAACACATGGACTGTTGGGGGACTTTCTAGTTAAGACTTCAGTAACAGTCCGCCTGAGTGCCCACATCATTCTCCAGGATAGACTGTATGTGAGACACAAAACATGACTCAGTATATTTTTAAAAATTGAAGTCATACTAAGCATCTTTGAGCATAGTAAAGTGTGTCATATGGAGATTTGTCTCTCTCCCTTGTTACACTGCATGCTCCTGAAGAAGGGACTGTGTCTGCCTTTCCTTACTTCTCTGTCTCTGGTACCTCAAACTATGGCTGGTACATGGTAGGCACTGAATAGATTCCTTGCGTAATGAATGAATGAGTGAACAAAAGAATGAACAAAGTAATTGACATGTAAGGGCAGATGGTCATGAAAGAAGTCATTCTAATGCACTGTGTAGTAAATGTCCTGAAAGAAGTCTGGGATCACTCCACTGTGTCCTCGGGTGCTCATCTGGCTCTCACCAATTTAAGAAAGGACTGAAAATCATCGTCACTATTCCGCACCCCTCCTAAGTGATGGAGAAGCAAAAGGGGAGTGCTGTAGACCTGTGGTGGTGAACCTGTGGTGGTGTACCTGTGTGGGTGTTTGTTATCACTGAAGCTCTGAAGGATTCACTGTCACTGCTGTAGACACTAGTACTGTTTTGGGAACCTTTACAGTGCAATGTCATTACCAGTAGATGTGCAAACCAGTTTGGTGGCTCGGAATTGCAGCATGTGCTTTGAGCCCCGGACACATAAGTGGAGCTTATTTTGCCCCCCAAAGGAGGTTGCCACCTCAGTTTAGAGCTTAGGAGAAACAATTTCAGGAGGAACTTTAACATGAAGGGTTATTTTCCTTATGAAAGTAAAATACTTATTACTGTAGAAGTTTAGAGAACAGTAAGTCATGGAATCTTCCATCGTTGACATCAGCAGTGGTGTTCCAAGCCCAGGACAGCTCCAGGAAGAGAACCGGATTTCCTAAGATGTGCAGCACTGTTAGAGAGCTATTATGACACTCCTCAGAGGTTCAGCAGTGGCCACATTTTTAGCTCTGTGTGACTGAGATCTAGGAGTTGTAAATGTGGTGGTGATAGTACTAGTGTTGTTGTTGGTGGTTTGTGTGTGCTGTGTGTGTACCTGGTGAGTTACAAGTTAAATTTTGAATCATCCTATAAGATGAAACTGCCACATAACCCAGGGAGCCATTGTATATACCTTAAGTAGACCATATGAGGAATTAAATGAGCTAATACAGGTGAAAACATTGAGTCGTGCATGCATTGTAGGCGTTCAGTAAATGATTTTACTTTTTGTTTATTAGTTTTTTGATTTGTTCTTGGGTTTTTTTTGTTTGTTTGTTTTGGTGCTGGGTATTAAACCCAGGGCCTCATATATGCTAGAGAAATGCTCCGTCGCTGAGCTACATCCCCAACCCTTATATTTGAATTTAAATATTGCTTTATTAGACCCACTACACAGTACTTTTGGAAAAGTCCAAAGAGAGGGGGTATTTGCAGCTCTTGTCCTGGGTTTCCAACCTAGTTCCTATTGTCTTTCCCTCCCCAAATGCCAATAGTCTCCTGAGCTCTGTCATAGTGCTGCTGCCTTTGAAAATGAGGTCTGGATCTGAAGTCACTGCAGTGAAGAAACAGTGTGGCTTCCTGGGGTGCTTCAGAAACTGGGCGTTGCTGTGCATGGCTTCCCATAGCTCCCCATCATTATTCTTACATCAGAAGTGGGAACTGAGCTTCTCATACATTATAGGCCAAGGTCACTCCGCAGATAACAACTAAAAGGCAGTTCTTTCTCATTTTAGAGTATACACTGCAGGTAATAATATATAACTGAATCCCTTAAAAATTGTTTTGGGGCTGTCTTGGGTAAACTTCAACTTGTCCTTTAGTTTTTTCTCTTAAATGTCGTGCAGGTTGTATAAATTGCTCATGCAGAATGCTTCTTGCAGGAGAAAATTCTTTCCTGCCCTGTGTTTTGTTTTATTTTATTTGTCAGTAAAAATGACTAATTTTAATCTTTTTCTTTTGGTCAGATCAAACCGGGCACTGATCAATGTCTGGATCCCGTCAGTGTTTCTCCGAGGCAAAGCGGCAAACGCATTCCACGTGTATCAGGTAAGCGCCCGGTTTTCAGGCATACCTCGCAGCTGGATGGAAGGCACCCATTTGGAAGCCATGCTGCTCTACTCTTGATGGTGGGACCCTGTACCTGGGAGGAGGTAGGAGGGCTGCGGCCTTCCAAACTCCAACATTTTAACTGCCCACCTTCCTCAGGGGAGGAGTGTGTGGCCTTCAGTCTGACAGGAGGAACAGGAAATAGATGGGATTGCCTTGTGCCAGCCTACTCTCTCGGTGTGGCCACAGCACAGACTACTTGAGCAGAAGTGGAGATTTGTTGGCTTGTGTTGCAGATAAGAGTCTAGGGGAGGTCACACCTCTACATGCTGGCCCTGTGGTCACGAACTTGCTGCCATCTCTTCTTTCTGTTGCTCGGCATCCTTGGTGGGCGGTTTGGAGGTTGACAGTTTGCAGTGGTGCTAGCCTCTCAGACCTAGCGAGAGTGTTTGAGTGATCTCTTGGGCCACACCTCGCAAGTCTGTCTTGTGAGGGATGGCAAACCCATTCGTGAACCCTGAGGTTGGGCAGTAGACTTCTGTGGCTGGCCCATTTGGTTCATGTGACCATCACTGGTGCTGACTTCACTTGACCACGTGTCTGAGTTACGGGAGGGTATGTTCCAAAGGACTATGAGGACGCTCTTTCAAAAGAAAGGGCAGTGGATACCCTTGACAGTTTAAAGCTGCACGTGTCTTCTCTGCTTCCTCGTGGTGGAGGTGGACACCCCCAGTCGGGACTTGAGTGTCTAGGCCTATGTAACCTTTGTCTTCTTTGGAAGTGACTTTGCAGCAAGGATTCCAGTTTTTCTTCTCTCAGTTTCTGATTCTTCTTTCAACCCTGCCTACTTCCCCGCTGACCTTTCTCTTTTTTACCGTGGAGTCTGATTGCCAACCTTGTTTCCTCTTGTTCTAGAATTGCTCATGTCAGCATGAACTCTGAGCTACTTGCTGCTTCCACTGTCCTTTGAATCATAGTAGTTTTCATTAAGTTTAGTTTTGACCCACATGAACCTTGTGAGAAGCCTAGGTTTTCTTGCCATTTTTCTCAGTGAGGGGTGACCCACTGTAGAAGTCTCAGCTTGAAGACATTCTTCCTAGAGTGTGGGATGGCAAAAAAAGACACTGACCCTGAAAATAGGAACCTTGATTTCAATGTGAATAATACATATCTTATAAAACTGCAACACATGTCTTACACAACAGCAGTGAAATCAACAATGTGTAGTGCATGGTAGATAGTCATTCTTTCCAGCATTTCCAGGTGATCACCCTGTTTGGTCTTAGATGCAAGGATGATGTCTGCGTTCGACTTAAGATCTTACGGACAGTTGAATTAGTCTGATGTATGCAAGTTATTTTACTTGACATATTGGCTGGGCATCAAGAGCACTTTAATAAGTGTTAGGAGAACCTGAGTGTTCATGATGCTCTCAACTGTGGTTTTAAAAGAGAATTAGATATGCCAGATTCCCAGATAGAATCTTTCTCTTTTCATCTAAAGCCAACCAAACAAACAAACACAAAATAAAGCGATCCAAACAAAAATCTGTTATTAAATGCCCTTCAGTTCTGCTTTGTGGTCCTCAAAAGGCTGGGAGGCTGCCTAGAGGATGAAAAAAGTGAAACAGGCAACTTTGTTTTAGAGCAAAATTAAAATGTGGTAACCCTGGAGGAGGTTTCCTTGGCCTTTTGATTTTGACCTCCTCTTTGACCTCATGAAGCAATTCAGCAATTTTTAGTTTCTGAAAGTCAGCTCTGATGTGAGACGGACACAGCAAAATACACTGTTGCCTGCCAGAGAGTTTTCTCTGCGGCCATAATGGAGTTAAAGCCACTGTTTCCTACCCTTCATGGCTTCCAGAGGCTTCCGGTCTCTCCCCAGCCGGGTTACCCGGGATGTGGCCTAGATGTCAGCAGCCACATCACCTGGAGCAACTTCTGCATCGCCACAGGTCTCCTGTGTCTCTCCCCACCCTGGAGTGAATAAAGTCGCACCACATGCGTGCATTATTCTCTTTTTGGCCAGTAGTGTTTCTTGTTGGTTCCTCAGTAGCACAGTCTGAGTCCTGTTTTAGAAGCATTTTAGGGAGGTTTTGTATAGAAGGTGACTCACTTAAATATTGGTACCATTTTTAAAGGATTTTTTAAAAAATCCGTTCTATCAAATTCCACAGGATTTAGGGCTGGGGATTTAGCTCAGTGGTTCCGGTGCCTGCTTTGCAAGTACAAGGACCTGAGTTCAATCCCCAGTACCAAAAATACAAAAACAACAACAGCAACAAAAACCAAACAAACAAATTCTAAAGAAATGTATAGAAAAGAATAAGTCCATCATAAAACAAAGACATTGAGAAGAAAATGTGGAAACCATATTTATCGTGCAATAAAATGTGGTTTTCATTGACTTGTGAATTTCTTAAGTGCTTCCTTGCAGCCAATTGTGAAAATAGAAATGTGATTGTTTTTTGATAATTCCATTGTTGATGACAAGAGATGTTAGTTCCTGAAAAGGAGCTTTAGAAGAAATCTTCACCTAGAATTTTAGCTCAGCAATAATAAAAGATACACATAGTAGATAGTCCTTATTTACATCTCCATGTCAAATCATTGTCCAATTTCAAAAAGTCTCCTTATAGAGACACCAAGGGCATAGCTCCAAAAGGAGCAGAAATTTGTTTGAAGAGTCCAGATGTGGAGCCTTCTCTGGAGAACTGTGCTGCCCAGCATTACGGCCACTAGCCATATGCAGGCATTTAAATTTAAATGAATTAAAATAGAATAAGATGAAAGATTTAGTTCTTAGGTCACACCAGCCACATTCCAGGGGCTTAATAGCTGCATGTGCTGGTGGTAGCAATGTTGGACGGTAAGAACTGCCCCACCTCTACCAGTGCAGAAGGCTCTGCAGGGCAGTGCTGCTTAGAACCACATCAGCGGAAGTGGAACTCCAGTGGTGGACAGACCTGCAGGGAGAGGACCCTTCCTCTCCAGCACATTACCTGGAGGAGAGGACTTAGCCTCAAACCATCTGATCTTTTCCTTTTTGGAAAGAAACACAGAACCTGAGAATCATCGCCTTTGGCCACCAACAGGCTTCAGTTTACATTGTTTTGTGTTCATTATATTTATTTTTACAATTGCCTTCTAGTTATGACATAATTCTATGTTCCCACTTACCATGGTGATGTACAGTTCTCTTTTAAAATAAATTTAAAGCAAAAAGGAAATGAGTCAGCCTAAGGAAAAATACCAAATAAACAATAATGAAAACTGCAAAAAAGTCAAGGATGTTGAGCTGTGGGGAACACTGATATAAAGGAATGAATATACTGTGACTAAAAATTAATAATAATTATAAGCTACAGCTTCCTCTTACTGATTTCTGTGTTATATAAAATAGCTCATCTCTGGAAGCAGCTCTGTTAGGTGAGAATTTCATATTATTCTCATTTTATGGATGAGGAAACAGACAGAGCGGCATCTCGTTTGGTAACATCTATTCTTAGTGATTTCTGGCCAATTTGCAGAAGTTCTGCTCCTGAGTGAGGGTAGAGTCTAGCTCTTTGACAATCCTAGAAACAGCTGGGACGGTTGCCTTCATTGTGAAGGGAAAGGTCCATTGTGGTCAAGGTCTTGCCCTCAAGGACAGCCACTGCATCACTGAGATGGTGGGCAGAGGCTGAACCTGCAGCCATGCCTGGGACTTTAGCAAGAAATGCTGTTTATTGACCAGATTGAATACATGCTATTTAAAAAGTGCTGGTACTCCTGTGTCCTCAGAGGGGGCAAGGTGTGTTCTGCATATGCTAAAACAAGGAGTGGCAGCATTTGTCCAGTTTTCAGAACAAAAGTAGCATCGATGTCCAGAGTCTTTCCAGTGAAAGTTTCTAAGTCTTCATGGATGAGTATTTCCTAGGTTGGGGGCTGCTGATGCTTGGTCTCCAGCCGGCACTGGCCAGAGATAAAACCAAGGAGCAGTAGCGAATACAGTGGAAAACAAAACAAAACTTAGGCCTTTCCTTTGTATTGCTCAGTTTTTCTCACTTTTCCTCTTGTAACACAGAGAAAGATTTTCTGTCATTTCCATACAACATAATTAAAATGTCTGTTTAATCAATAAATTTCTAGCTTATACTTTTGGAAATATTTGATGTTATTCTCCAAATTGGAGCTCTGTGTTAACATCCAACTGAAGTTTTATAAAGATATCTTAGACTTTAAAAACTGCCTGCCTAGTTTTTCTTCAGCAAATGTTATATCTGCTAAATTGGAGTGAAATAATACATCAGCTTATTTTCTGAGTCCATAGTTCTTTCCCTTAAAAATTACCTGTAGTGTAAGTACAGTAAGATTCATTTCCACCTTTGAATTTAACCACCAGGAAACTTGCTTTGGACAGTATTCTATTTGCATAGAGAACTAATTAGGTCTCCTTTGTTTTCACAAAGCCTTTTTCCTCTAGAGTGAGTTCTTTATTGTCCCTGCCCTGCAAAATCAAGTAGCCTGAGCAATTGTTTTTAAAGGTTTAGTTGAGCTGAGCCTATGTATGTATGTGATGCAGGGAAAAATCCATGATTTTTTTTTCCTATTAATAATGAATCACAGCAGCTCAGTAGGCTGCATGAGGAGGCTACAGGCGGTTTGGAGGATGGTTATGTTTTTGGACCTCAGGCTTTGGTTTTCCCAACTCTTCTTTTCCTCCTCTTTCCTCACCCTTGGGCCCTAAGCATTCTCTTACCCAAGGCTTGTTTGTGCTTTGCCTTGTGTATTGCTATGCAGAGAGACAAGAGTTCCTTAAGTAGAGAAAGATGAAATGGTAGAGGGATGTGCAGAAATGGGAGCTGTGGCTGCAGCTGTCTCAGCAAGTAACATTCCAGATTTGGGGACCAGCTCTAAAACAGACCCAAGTCCCTTTAATTCCCGCCTGGTCCTTCCGATCACACCTGTGGGCTGAGGCAGCCATTTGCTCTCTGGGCCTTTCCAGCCAGTATTGGCTTA